AGCGGTGCTGCCAACTTTTTATAATAAATACAGAACTACCGCTGGTCTTCAAAAAAAGGCCAGATCTGACGGGAAAAAAGCATAATCAGCAGCACTGATACTGAGACGACTCTCTCTCTCGCTCTCAGCAAATACGAACGCTCGTGTGAAGAGAAAGGAATAAACGAACGGGACTCTACTGCATTGCTGCGCAGTTTCTGTCTTTGCAGTGATCCTCCCTTCTATTGGTTTTGGCTTATCTATGGACGTGATACCCTTTATTCTAGAGATCTTACATATTTCTGTATGTTCCTTAAAATATAATAAACATACAAATCTGTCTTTTATTTCCAGGTAATATGCTGCCAATGCTGTTTTATTGATCATACATCCCAAAAGGTATTTGTATTTATGCGTACAATATGGGGAAAGCTAATTTGTACCCAAATGAAAGATATTTCTGTATTTCTCCTTCGAAGAGTATGCTCCGTAGAGAGTATCCCTTTATGTCTTTCTCTCTTTTACTTGAATGTTGGATTACCGTTGGCTCAGACCCGTATTTGAAGGGGGAATCTACACACATATACCGTTTGCTAGTAGAGTTTATTTCGAAATTGTTATACCCCATTCCCCGTAGGGTAATTCCGGAGCTGCATTCTGGGGAGCAGAGGAAAAGAATCGAGCAGAGACAAAGGAAGACGAAGATGAGCAAGTGGTAGGGCAGCAGCCAACTACCGCTAAAACAAAAAGTAAACAATGGCAACAAAGTTGAAGCATGCCCCGGGCAAAAGAGCGAGATAGAGCGATCGGAGGTGGTGGCGTGGAGGATGGAGGCTGAAGCAAAGTCACCAACAGACACCCGCTTCTGACGCGGGCATCGAAAACAGGCCAAGACAATAGCCACCGCACCCTTGCAGCTCCAACGTTTCTCTGGCAGCACCGGAAAGGGTATCAAACGAGACAAATTTTGTGGCGAAAGAAAAGCGGAAGCAGAAGCAGAAGCATAGCGACATGTTGCGTTTGAAATGACAGACAGACACGGACGGACTCAGCACGAGAGATTGACCTTAGCTCGAAGAAGCACGTGGTGTTGCAATTCTAGGGGGAGTCCCCTGTCTCCAGGCCCCTGCTGGCATGAAAGAATGATGAAGGATGCGGGTGCCTGAACTTGAATGAAGTTCTACACGTATTCACTTGCTTGTTTCCGAATTTCTGCAGGAGCAGTAAGCAGTAGTAGATCCTCCTTTGTGTGTGAATAAGATTGTAGATTATTTGGCTACTATATTTACAAGTGGATAATAGAATACAGCAAAAGGACGAAGCGGGTTTCCATACCTAAAGCCATGATATAGGGGAGTGAACCTCTAAGAGTTCTTTCATTTATTGCAGTAATTCCATGTATAATGATCATGCTTGATTAAAGACAGGGACCGCAAATAATAATTATGAGTTTAACAAAATTGAGGCACAAAACAACTACCAAGAGTGGGGAAATTAGACAAACATACATATGTACATATTTATATGTTTTTTTTTTCACGGAAAATTTCAAAACAGGATAAACTTTTATTTGCCATTTTTTCTTTAAATATTAAATTTAAATTTAAATGATAAAAATAAAAAATTTGTTTTTATTTTCAATTTTTATAATAAAAATTTAAGTTATAACTTTTATTTTAAATTTTTCAATAGAAATTAGCATTATCCCACCCTAAAAATCCCCAAAAATTTATTATAAAAATTGAAAATAAATTTTAGGACTTAATTTGTATATAAAAATGTTAATATACAATTTTTTTGTTTTTATCATTTAAATTAATTTTAATATTTGAACAAATTTTGTTTAAATAAATACAACAAATAAATTGTATTTGTTAATTTTTCAAGTATAATCTGATTACGGAATATTTCAATTGATTTTCCATTGATTGTTTGACAATCGTAATCGGGAAATGAAATATGGGTTCTTAATTCAAAGATAATGGAAATGTTTCAACAGTCTTTTAATTTTGATAACCTGTTGGGAATGTTGGGTAATAGATAAAAGACAAGAATCCAGACAAACTTGTGAAAAACTAAATGTGTGTGTAAATTATTGCAAGAATCAATCACAGACTTTCATTATTGAATATCTGTTCATAAAAGTTAAAGCTGGAAACTTTACGGGCACTTACGGGCACTGACAATTTCATTCTCTTTAAATCGGTCGGTGACTAAGCCAAAGACCAGCTGTTTTCCGCCGCAAAAAATAAAAAAAAAAAGCAGCAGCAGCAGAACCGGGCACAAGAGCACTTTCCTTCCACTTTGATTAGATTAGGGGAACGGAGACCATTTGGAATTCAGGGCACTTAGACAGTGCCCGCCGAAAGTAGATGGCACCAAAGCGAAGGACCGAACAGACCATAAAGCTTAACCCACACTCGGGGGCGAGGGCGAGGGCCAGGGCCAGGGCCAGGGCCATTGTCGTCGTCATCCATTAACCTGGTCGAAATATTACACAATTTAGCCCAGACTTTAGGGCCCGTCCCGCTTATCGCCAATCAAATAATTAGAAAAGGTAAAACAGCCTGAAACGCCTCCACCCGCCCATAAAAAATGCCAATACAAATGATAGAAATTGCACGTTTTGTGTGTGAGATAGGAAGCGTTGGCAGGGGTGGGGTGTTGGGTGGGGGATGGGAAGGAAAATAGCTACGAGTTTGTTTAACAAAGTGGTTTTCAACACCCCATAAAAAACATTCGCCAAAAATGAAGCAAAACCAAGAAAAACACACACAGAAAGTGAACCCACCAAGAAGCGGCCCAAGCAAAGCAAAAGGGCAACAGGAGAAGGCCAACAAAAGAGCAACAGCAACAACAGGAAAACGCAGACATCAGGCAGTGATGTGCCGTTGTTTCCCCAGCGCGATCACTGTGGAGGAGGACGACTGCGACTAAGGGACACCCACTAATCGGTAGAGGGAAGTACATGTATAGAAGAGCTAAAGAAGGGGTTATGCAGTAGATGATAGCCCCCCCAATCATCAAAACTACTAGTCTCCTAAATCCAAAGGAAATGAGTATAAAGCGGAAGCATATCCCTCTACCTGTAGCCAATATACCCATTGGATACAGAACACACCAGGGTATCAAAAGGCAAACAAATAACCGTACAGAGAGAGACAGGGGGAGAGAGAGAGGGGGGCAGAGAGAAATGTAAACAATGCAAGCGAGACGCGATGCACAGCAGCAGAGCGGCAGAGCAGCAGAGCGGCAGAGCAGCCTCAAGAACAAGAAGAACAACAAGAACAAGGGAAAACGGCACAAAACAAATGCCAGCTGAAGTGAAGTTCAAGTTGAATTTTTTGTGTTTCTGACGCGGAGACGTCTCCGCCAGGCGACTCACCTCACTCGTGTTCCCTCTTTGTTCCGCTATGCGAAATACATACTTCATCAACAACGTGCCAGACAAAGTGCTAACCAGTGCCAGTGGGGAGGGGGAGGGGTTTAGGGGGGAAATATGTAACTACGGTCTGTTTGTCCCCTAATGAGGGAAGAACCGACGCTGGACATCCCGAAGATGGGGAACAACAAAAGTCAGGAACCAAAAGGTTCCTAAAAATAAAGGGCCATTAGAGCCTTAGGGGCCAGGATTGTTATAGTCCATGGATACACTTTATGGATTCGATTTGAAGAATAATATATGTGTGTACAGTGCCGCTCATCTGAATAGGTTCAACAAAAGTCCAAGCAGGTGTGTGGTTTCCAGGACACGTTTTTAAAGACTATTTATTAGGTTTTTCAAAACCATTACAAAAAACGACTATTTATTTATTTATAGTACATATGTGTATTATAATGTATAAGTATACAGACATTACAGACATTCTATCGTATAAATGTAAATACTAGAGAAATTCCCAAATATCTACTCAACCTTTATGATCCGAAACTGATCGAAGCGAAAAAAAAACGACACCCAATGCGTAAAGGGTACTCTGGTACTCTGTATAAACAATGATGAAACAAATGGCCCAAATGGGCGGCAAACAAAGACATGTAAGGGCGGGCAAGTGAAATGGAGCAAATCTTTGAGCAAACTCTCCGGATTGGTGCGGGGGCGGGGGCAATTGATAAATCGGGCCAAGATAGAGAAGCGATAAAAGTTCCAAGGGAAACGTGGAAGGAAGAACCCACTAGCCCGACAGCCCCCTGGCAGCTCCACCCCTGTGCACGACATTGCCTTCGATGGCGCAACGTTTCGGAAACAATTTGATGGCCATAAAAGTTGATGTGGCGGCGGCTGTCATAAAGGAGGCGACGGCTCCAGCTCCTCCCGCAGAAGGGAGAGGGCAAAAGTTAGGTGAAAACTGCGGCAGCAGTCAAGATGCGGAAGCAGGATCCGGGAAGGCCCCAGGAACCCCTGGGTTCCCCCAACATTGTCGGGGATTAGGCGGCGACGGGCGACGGGCGAAAGCAAACAAATAAACATCGAGCAGCTGTTTGTGGCGCCGCCAGAGAGAGAAAGAGAGCACAAGAGGGACCGCAGAAGAGAGCAAGCGAGTGCGAGAGAGCAGAGCACAGCAGTTTGGCGCTCTCTGCCGGTTGGCGGCCAATGCAGGGTACATTTATGCGGGGTGAGGCCTTCCCAGAGAGCTCAACCCAGAGGGTATGGCCAGTATTTAAAGCATCCACTGTTATTATTCGGCTTTTAGTTCGTGACTGGCTCTCTCTCTTTCTCTGTCTCTCTCTGTCCCTGTCTCTGGGTGCACGCTCACCCACCGCCCACTTATCAAACGGCACTCAATCATTCATGGCCAGACTGCTCCTACTTCCCCCTGCCCCCTTCGCACTGCCCCTGCCCATTCCCCGCCGCCTTGTCTGCTGCGCCTATTGGCAGAGAGACGCACGGGGGAGTGGAGTGCTTCGTGCCCTGCCACGAAGGGGAGAACGACGACGATGCGGCATTTTGGGCACGCTTTGGCGCTTGGCCATATTTCAAACGGTTTCTCGGTCTCTCAGTCGCAATTCTGTGGCTGCAGCGGCAACACTAGCCACCAGCAGCAGTTCCACCCCGCACTCCGCGCTCCGCACGCGGATACTCGAATACGGGCTCCAGCAGTTTATTACGTATACGGTACGGTGCCGCATGCTGCCGCCGCTATCCGCCGAGTGCCGTGTGCCGTTTGCCGCTTGCCTCTTGCCTCTTGCCGCCCGTTAACCGTTGGCATTGCAAATGCGAAATCAAAATGTAAATGATAATGATTGCAATACCCGAAACAAGAACAAGAACAAGAACTGGTCGAAATCAATGTGTCGATAAGGCGGCAAAAAACAGTCTGATCGAAAAGTGTGTGGCCCTCAAAAGCATTGACAGAAAGTGTACGACAAAGCAAACGGAAATTGTAATTTCGTTCCCTTTTACACACCCCCCCCTCCCCCTCACCCCACTCTCTCTCCCTATTTACCTCTTCACGTGATGTGTCGCATCGCATCGCATCGTATCGTATCGTATGTCGGCGTAAGATAAGCAACGGTATAAAAAAAAGGCGATAGATAGATTGTATGCATGATTGCCAGTCAAGCCCGTATGACATTCGCTTCAGGGTTGTACCTGATGTACCGCAGTATCCCTAAGGAGATCATTATTCAATATTCAAAAGATACCCAGATCAGTGCACTTTTCCGCTAGTTTTTCCACTTGAAAATTGAAAGTAATTGCGTTTTCATTAAAAGTTGTAAAGTTTACAGCTGTAAAAAGTGTTGCCTTCCCAGAATAATCAACGAAGTTTCGTGATTTCCTGGAAAAAGTGCGAGATGTAAGTAATTTGAAAGTTCTAGGGCTTTGTTCGGAAACCAAGGTAGGGGATTTCTTGGTAGCCGAAAGTTAAAATTAAACTAGTTTCAAGTAAATCTACCAATTGACTGTTGAAAACAGCTGAAAGGAAACTTGTTTTCAAGTAAAAAGTGTCGCTGAATGTCCACACGGTCTTTGGGTATCAGTTTTGCAGCACTTGAACAAGAAATTCCTTCGTTCAGCTGTTGGAATTCCCAGTAAATGTCATACGGGTTTTATTTACTTTGAAGGGGAAATATTCCCCGATTTCGATGCCAGGCGATGCCATGCGATTCCGAGGAAGAGGCAGAGGCAGGGGCAGGGGCAGGGCCACACACACAAACAAATAAACAGACGAACCGAACAATAGACTCCATTCCATGCCATGCCATTTCCCATTCAATTTCTGATCGCCCCGTTTTCTCTCTTCTTTTTTTTTTTTTTTTTGGTGTGCGTTTCCCTTTTGGGTTCGATTTCTGCAGAAAGTGCAATACAAATATTAGCACTGCAATAAAACAATAAAATAATCAACTTTGAGCGTATTAATTGCAATCTTGTGATAGAGATTATTTAAGCGGAACACGGGAGGGAGCACCAGAAACAACAACAACAACACAAAGAACAGGTAAATGAAACGAATAAATAGGAAACAATCGAAGAATTCGTAAATATTAATAAACATAAATAAACAAATCAATAAAAAAACAAAACCACAGCTCAGTGAATATTAATTTGATACGAAAATTAGTTGTTTAGAACTCGAATGAAAACCCTGATAAATATTTTCCAAATTAAGTATACAAACAATTAAACTTAGGCATTGTTTTTTATTGCGGAATTTATGAACTAACAAAATGTGCAATCAATTTCAAGAAAAACACAATACATTTCCAACGAATACCCTTTTAAAACCCAATAAAAATTCAAATTTCTAATTCTGACACATGTCGTCGCCACTTGTCCCCCACCACCCCCCACTCCACCCCCCGGACATATGTATTTGAAATTTTCACAGAATATTAATTCGTAGCTTCATCTCTGGTTTCGCATCTGCATTTCGGCATTTGGGCATTTGGGCATCTCTGTCTCTGTCAGTTTTTGGCATTTGAAAGCCAATTATTTGGTTGGGCTGCCATTCGGTGGATCAGATGGGACGGGACGGGACAATGTCGATGACAGATTTAAGCATTTTTGCAAAATATGAAACGAACATAGAATACGCATTTGTCACAGTCCAAGACCGAGACGGAGACCTAAATTGGACTAAAATTGAGTGAGGAATGGATTTAACATCCTTTATTCCTGGATTCCTCTATGAATATCTGTATGTAACCCCTATTTAATCATCCTCCTCATTTCCCCCTGCCACCCCCATGATTGGGGAAGCAATAAATTATGCTGCCTCTTGGGGCACCGGCTCCTAGGTATGTACGAGGCATTAAAATCTTTCCAGCCAACAAAATTCCTTTGATAACTTTTAATTAAAATATTTATTTATAGTCGTGCGCTACTTGTCAGCTTTAAACCGCAGGCGAAACCAAAAAAAACTTGAGTAAATTTTATTTTCGCTTGGCAATCCATCCAAAAGCATATCCGAGAGGGCCAATAACAACTTGTGTCCTTTTAGCCACCAAATTGGCCTCAATGAAAGTTCCAGTTTGGCAGTGGCCGTAGTAGGAATATCACCAAGAGGAACTTTTTGTGGGGGCGAAGAAGGCGCAGGTTTGGTTTTTTTTTTTTGGGAGTTCCCGAAGCTCTGAATACCCTTGAAGGATCTGCCAGAACTGGGCACTCGAGAGGGTACCAACAAGAGTTTAAAAACGTTGTCGGAATAAAAGATAAAGGACATTATTAGGATAACCCAGCAACTGCCGAAGGATAGACATTCGATGCGAGTGATGCGGCAGTGCCCATCGGTTGGCTGGGACCTTTAATTTCTGTGTGTTTTTGAGGCAAACAAATCAAAGCGGTTTTAGGGCAATAGCCTGCCAAGTATTATCCTTGAATCCTGAAAGCCGTCACCCATCTAATGGAAAAATGAGTGGACACCAAAAGGAGAAAGGATAACCCCAAAAAAGCACAAGAATAACTTTTTCAATTGGCTTTTGGTCTTACAAGATTTACCATATATGTACATATGTATGTGTGTGTGTGTGTGTGTGTGTGTGTGTGTGTGTGTGTACATATGTAGTGTGTATATGTATGGGTGTGCCCTGCGAGTCCGAATCATTCATTCACAGCGATATGCTGTGTGGTGTGTGGATTATTCAGTGTTTTTTGTTCCCTTGGTTTCTCTTCTATTTTTTATTTACGCCCCGCAATTTGCGCTGACAGGTGCCCATAATTTATGGCATGCCACTTATTGATTATGCCCCTAGAATCCCTCTCCCTCTCTGGCCCCCCCCTTAAAGAGGTTTCTTATCAATAAAACGGAAAATGAATTGAGTTGTCTTTTGGCCCGCCTCCACAGTCCACAGTCCCACAGTCCACGCTTTAACTGGGCTTTTCCGCTGTTATGGCCATAATTTGTCCGCTCAACCCGCTCTCGGGAAAATTGTATTTTCTGTTGCTTCTTCTCTCTCTCTTTCTCTCTCTCTCTCTCTCTGCCGTTGCCGTTGCTGTTTCCGTTTTCCGCTCTGTTGTGACATTTTCGTGCTGTTTTTGTTGGGTTGCCATTGACGGGGTTTTTGGCTGCAATCGTTTTGCAATTTAGTAGCCGCACCGCAAAATGGCCAACTGTTTTTCGGGGCCCGGGCCTGGCCTGTTCGGCTAATCGGTAGCCGATTTGTTGCTTTTTTTTTTTGGCCACAGCCGACGGCGGGTTGTTGTTGTTCGTTTTGGCTTTAAGTCCTTTAAAACTTTACTTTTGGGATTTGCATAGATTTTTCCTTTGCCCTTTTCCCTTTGCCCCCTGCACTGTACTTCACTTCCTGCTCTGTCGAATTATGCTAATTGTGGAGGCTGCTGCTGCTTCTGAGGATTTCGGATTTATTCATAAAAGGAAATTTTATTTTTGCACATCTCTCGTTTTCTTTTTTCTTTTTTTACATTTCATAAGCATATTTATGTTCCTTAGAGTAATTTTCTGTTGGTTTTCGCTAATTAAAAGCGTGCGCGAAAGCCCTGTTTTTGCCCAAATTTATGCAGATAATCCCAGCTTCAAAAAGGGAAAACAAGGCGCAAAAGTATTCGCGATGGAATAGGAAGAAGACTGGAGAGCTGTATAGCGAATAGAATGAGAGTTAAATTGGAAGACATCCAAGCAGAATGAGCAATGGAACAGGAAGAATAGTAGGTGAATGGTTAGACAGCAGAATGGCAGATGGATGGGTATGGATGGTATGTGAAAATCTACAAGTAATACTGGAATTGGAGAAAATTATTCAGCTTGAAAGCCTGCTCTCTGCGGCTTACCTGATGGAATGTTTCTGGCTTGTCTTGCAGGTAGAATTCGTATTTTTGGCTCTTACCTCACCTGCTTCTGTGACTCAAAGAAATCCTATTAAATGACACAATTTTGTGGTAGGAAAAGCAGAGGCTTAAAGCCCATACTCACGTGCGATTTGTGCCTTGTTTTTTAGCAAGGATATGGGCGGGAAGGAGCTAAAAGATGGTGTCTAAGAGGCATCTACCTTTCGATCTACGACCTGTTCTAAGGCGACAGTGTGTACACACTAAAGGCCTGCATGAACAGGCAACCGAATCGATTCGGTGGTGTTCGGTTTTCGTTTCGCTCGCTCTCAGCGTCTCGCTCGTCACTTTTGTTGTTTCAAACTCGAAAATTTCGGTTATTCTTTCTCGCTCACTCCACGTTTTGAAGCCCTAGAGCTCGCAGGATGACTGAAGGCAGGATTCGTAGTGTTCGAAAGAGGCATTTAAGAGGCATGTAGGCAGCTGTCGGGCGAGAGTTTTACAAAACGAGTAACGAGTAACCCGAAATTCCGCATGCTCCTCGTCCCACGAACACATCTGAGAGCTAAAAGTCTTTCTCCCGTGGGAGAACGAGAGAGAGAGAAAAAACAGACGCTTAGACGCTAAAATGCAAGCTTTGTGGCTGAGCTTTAGATTTGTAACGGATCATCTCTGTAGATTATTCACTTTAGAGGCAGAGACGGTGACAGAGAAAGGGACAGATAGAAAGGGGAAAAAAGAGCAAAAGCCTGCCAGGTCTGCTCTGCCCGCATTTTCATTCCTTTTCTCCTCAGTTGAGCTTTAGATTTGTAATAGAAACCGAACCGAAACGAGCCCCATGAAAGCATTCTACCTCTCCGTTGCCTTTTGTGTGTGTGTGTGTGTGTGTGTGGCATTCAGAGACATTTTTTTCCACATTTTTCAGCATTTTGATGAAGAAATTTTCTTTATCCGCGGCCAACCACAGACTGAAATGAAAAAAAATAAAATAAAATAAAACTAGATAAATTCTGAGACTTGTTGCGGAATATTAAAACGAGTCGTCTGACAATAAACCGTGGCTCTCCGTGGCTTTCCCCTCGGATAAATCCAACAATTTCCATAATGTACGCCTGATTAGAGGGCCAGGGTCTTGTTGCCGCCACAAAATATCGATTTGGGCCAACAATATTGGCTTCTTGACGGTGCCCGATAGCCCTCTCGTAAGTGTTAATGCAGCTGCCTGTCTGCCCGTCTGCCCGGCTGTCTGGCGGGTTATTAAAGTTAAGCCAGGGCTTTGTTACTGCTTTTTGGGCGGGGACTGCCTCAAGTTTCATGGTTGGGATTTGTTGGCGATGCATAAAATTGACAGCTCATTCACTGCGAGATATCCACCGAAGGATGATCAATAAAGTCAGTCGATTGACAGGTCCCCCAGGTCCAGCATTCCACCAGGGCCCCCCACCCCCCTTCGTGGCCGCCACTGCGGCATCTCAAGGATTATGAATATATACTCGTACGTATATCTTTTACGATTCCACACAAAAACAAAAATTGATTCAAAAAACTCATTCGTGTGTAAAAATGTCAAGCAAAAGCCGTGGAGGAGCGAGAGAGACATTGGCTTAATGGATGCCATGGCCTCTCCCTCTGCCCTCTGCTCTCTGCCACGCGTGGCTTTGGGGAAAATTCATCGCATGGAAAATCCATTTATCAAAAAACGACGACCCATACCCAGAAAAAACCGCAAGCGCATCGCACAATTTGACGCGGCAACAAGAAACAAACGAACAAATGATTTAAATTAATCCACTTAAGGCCACTCAAAGCCCGTGCTGCCAGCCAGAGCCAGAGCCAGGGCCCAAAAATGTATGCTACACATTCGCAGGCAGACACAAAACGAACACAAGAGAAACATGCAATATATATTCCGAGTATTCACAATTTTCCCTGGGAATAAGGAAAAAATGTCATACGCTGAAAGTTGGGTGGACCTCTGGGACGAAGGGCGAGTGAGAAATTAGACCAGGAAATGATTCACCTTGTTTGTGTGTCCAGGCAAAGGAGGGAGGGGGGATAGTGTGTGCATGGGATGTAGAAAACTCTACTTACAGACATTCGAGCTATGGAAACATTAAGTGATTATCCATCGAGAGATGCAACACAGATCGTTCCAAGACTGTGGCGTTATGTTTTGACCAGGCTTGAGGAAACTCCTTTGAACGGTTTACAGAC